GGCCCGTGATGTCTCCTCACGTCTACTCCACCTTGAATCTGCTTGAAGCAATTGATACTGCTACACGAGATTCTTTGTAACATTTTATTCCCATGTGAATGTGTGTTTTCGAAAGCTGGAGAAGTTGCTAGCAAGAAACTAAAAACCAAAAACAAACCAATGTAAAAATAATTGTGATTAAAAGTCTTTAAATCCCGGTCCCATGTAAGATTAGTCACACCCCGCTTTAGTTACACAAGCACACCCTATCATCCCACCACATCCTGTTTCCAACTGCTTACAACTGCTACAATGCAATTGCTTTGGTTGTATTTGTATCAATCATAAAAACCGTTATTGCACTCAGCACATGATTATTGAGACATTGTTTTGCTTTGTCTTAATTTGCCACTAAAACCTATTTTCAATACAATTCATTAAGTAGTTCAATACTGATTCATTGCTTCATTTGCGCATCACTAGGAATTAAGAGGCAAATGCAGACTCCAAGACTGATTTGAGGAAATGAAAAATAAACCTTTGTGGGGCGATCATGGCTCAAGAGTTGGCTGTTCTTCTTGTAATTGGAAGGTTGCCGGTTTGGTCCCGGCTCCGACAGTCTCGGCTGTTGTTTCCTTGGGCAAGACACGTCATCTGTTGCCTGCTGGTGGTGGTCAGAGGGCCCGGTGGCGCCAGTGTCCGGCAGCCTCGCCTCTGTCAGTGCGCCCCAGGTCGGCTGTGGCTTCAATGTAGCTTGCCATCACCAGTGTGTAAATGTGTGTGTGAATGGGTGAAGGACTGAATGTAGTGTAAAGCACTTTGGGGTCCTTAGGGACTAAGTAAAGTAAAATACAGGCCATTTACCATTTTACAGCGCAAGCATCAAATCCAGGTGGATGAAAAAAACAGGAGACAAAATTACTGAGGCAGACAAACAGTACAACATGACAGAGAACTAAAGAAAGCTATACAGGTACAACTAGAGTAGACTGCCATCAGATAGAAAGAATAACAGAAGTCACATGACCCAAAGAGAAAGTGAAACGACAATTTAAAACCCAAACTCACACATCATCTTCATCAGTGTGAACAACAACCACGACACACCAACTTCACAGCACAATTGGACATTCAGGTACAGTAACATTGTGTTAATAATCCAATGCAGGAAATCCAGTCATTAAATTATTAATTTGAGCGGATTGAGTCATCTCACATTTGGTTCAGATGTGTTAAGTTAAAAGAGTTTACTTTTCTTTTCCGTCTGTTTTATTTACAGGTAGTTGGTAACAAAAAGACATGAAACTTTTTCAGTGTAAGTCATTGTTGTGACTTTCTTCTTTTTCTTTGTTGATTTGCCCTTAACACAGTTTGTTCAGCCCTCTGGGATTTAACATGTAACATTGAGCTACACAAATAAAACTGGCTTGACTTAACAAATAGTTTTGAAATGAGGAAATGCTGGAGACTCAAGTGATCTTGATCTGAATTTGTTACAGATGTTTGCAATATTTTATATAATGGAATAGTTACCGGGGCAGCACGGTGGCACGGTGGTTAGCACTGTTGCCGCACAGCAAGAAGGTCCTGAGTTCAATTCCACCATCAGGCCGGGGTCTTTCTGTGTGGAGTTTGCATGTTCTCCCCGTGTTTGCGTGGGTTCTCTCCGGGTACTCCGGCTTCCTCCCACCGTCCAAAGACATGCAACTTGTGGGGATAGGTTAATTGGATAATCCAAATTGCCACTAGGTGTGAATGTGCGAGTGAATGTGAGAGCGAATGGTTGTCTGTCCCTGTGTGTTGGCCCTGCGACAGACTGGCGACCTGTCCAGGGTGTACCCTGCCTCTCGCCCCATGACAGCTGGGATAGGCTCCAGCGCCCCCCGCGACCCTGGAAAGGATAAGCGGAAGCGAATGGATGGATGGATGGATGGAATAGTTACCATGATGTCCTTTGATTTGAAAGTGGCAAAAAGTAAAATTTCATTTGCCTGGAAAATCTAATGTAACCGTGCCTGAATATGGAAAAGTGTTGCTAACATGTTTGTAAATTGTCATATTTCAATTGCAGTTAAACGGCCAGCACGCCCTGTTTCACCTCCTCGTAAGATATTTTAAATATTGTACAAAATTCAAACCTGAAGACAAAACAAGAGGCTTTTACACACCGGATCCGTGCAAATACTTCCTGGTTTACAAATATTTTTCGGACTCATCTGTTCTTTATGCAGCTGTTCACACTGACCATTTGAGCAGCAGAACTCCAGGAAGTTTAGAAAAAAAAGATTCAGTAATTGAACTTTGGGCGAGGTGAGACTGATTAGAGTCAGAGCAACGTTACTGAAACCCTGAATAAATCGCGGCATTTTTTTTTTTCAGACCAACCGATTCTTCCGATTTCTTGAATCTAAATAAAAAAGACCTGACCAACAAGCCCACTGCATTTGGCAGCTCTTAACTCACATGACACCTGTACTGAATACACAACCAGATGGAAATAGTCACGTGATATTATTTACATCAGACACACAGTTACATGATAATCCAGTTCAGTTGGCTCTGTGAAATGATTTCGCTGCCTCCTGAGATCTGGTCCCAACTCTACCAACAACACCTCAACAACAGCTGCCCCACTGACATCCTGAACTATGTACGAACACACAGCTTCAGCTCCTGGATGCAACCATGAAATTCTTTCTGCTGCTGTTTTCTTAGTTTCTTACTTTTCTCATCTTGGTATTGTTTGATGTCGGCTTCATTTTTAGTTTTCACAGTCCGTTTATTGAGGAGGAATTGTCCTCAAAAACGCAACGTGTTCAGTGTGTAACAGCCTTAACACATGATGTGTGACTCATTTAAAATGTTGCCCTTCCAGTGTGACTTTTATACAATTTACATTTTCACTTTACAGTGTTAGAGGTAGACGAGAGGATCATACCATGGAGGTGAGTATTAAGGGTGTGGTTCCTTAGAGAGGTGTACCAGAATTATTAAAAAATAACTCTTTAATTTCACCAACTCTCTGTGACTCTGTTAATCCCAGAGTCACAATTTTTATATCACGAAATTGATCTGTTTCAACTTGTTATAACAGCAGTCTGGCGAGGAAGGAGTGGCTAGCAGGTCCACCGAGCATGTTGTTGGGGGAGCCAGTCAGTTAAATCGAACAACAGACCTTTATTTGACATTAGCAACATAAGACCATACAGGCTAGGTCTCCAAGGCTCTACTCCGCCCGTACATACATGTGGGGGCATCGGTGCCAGCCTGTTATGTTATGTTATGAATGGTTTCTCTCGGAACAGACACACTAGCAGCATGAAACGTCTGCCACTATACTCACACACACTAGGAGACTCCCACAACTACTACAATAATAATAATTTTCATTCTTTTACATGGTGATGCAGAAATGCTCATCTTTTTTTTTTTTTACAATTATTATAGATGTTTTAAGGCCTTCGAAAAAAAATAAGTCCAGTATTATAGAATGAAACCAAAGATCAAACCCTGTTTTCAGGTCCAGAACATGGGAATAGAGTAGCTGCGAGAGAATTCAACATTAATGAATCAATGGTACGAAAGTAGAGGAAGCAAGAAGAATGAGTTGAGTAAAGGTTGACTTATCTGTTTTGTTTCGCTTAATGCACCTTATAATCTGGTGCGCCTTATGGTCCGAAAAATACATTAATTTCTACCTTCCTTTGTCCAGAAGTCCAACTTTTGTGCGATGTTAGCATCTTCCTCTGCCTTTTGGGTGCTACCGCAGGTGCCTTTGACGGTGCGAAACGTTTAGTCGACAATGTTGGAGAGAAAACTTACAAACATACAGTACAGCACTTCAGAGTCACACTGCTAGCGATCGAAGATTTAAGTAAATTTGGAAAGCTGAACGCATTCTGTACTGGGACGAGACACGGGACGAGATTGATTGATGATCTAAGCCAATCAGTTCACAGAAAACAAGACGTTGTAAAAAAACAAACAAACAAAAAAAGCATTCAAAATTGCACAAAAACGAAAAGGTAAGCCGCGTTATAGCAAGGTACCACTGTAGTAGAAAACAGATTAGAACACTGATTGGTTTATTTGGATATTTATCACAGAGAATCCATCAATAAAATTAATAAAGCTTTGCTGTGGCTTATGTAATTTAGAGGTTTGCCATTAGATGTTAATGTCAGAACAGATTGCAGCAGATAATGTGTAAATGTATCAATACAAAGATTTAATCCTCCACTGAAGAACTGTGCTAGCAGAAAAATGTGTTGAATTGTGATTTCAAAAGATGAATCATTTTCATTATAGATCCACAGCACCTTTTGCTCTGTCTCCAACAGTCAGGTCAACGAGCTAGATGACATGTCAAATGCCCCTTTTATATAGCATCACACACTGAGACAAAAAGCCTGAGTTATCAATAATAACCACCATCACAATGCTAATTTTCTCTGACTCTGGTTTTTGATATTATCAGACTAGACAATTCAAACCTGCCTATGTCAGTCTGGCTTGGTTGTACACCCCTCAAGTGTTTTGTTTGTTTTATTATTTTGTGTGTGTTCATAACACTGTTGTGTAAACTGTAAGTGTAAACTGAATCCTATTGTAATTTTCTAAATGAACAGTGAAAAAGAGCAAGACCTGCAGCTTGTCAGAGATTACAAGCCTCACAAAGATGTCCAGCATCTCAGAATTATGCTTTATGGACCACCAGGTGCTGGAAAGTCCAGCTTCATCAACTCTGTGGACAGTACTTTAAGAGGCAAAATCACAAATCGAGCTTCGGCAGACGCAATCTCTGGTGACAGTTTCACTAATGCAGTATGTATAAGGATGTATCTATTCTTATCATAATTGCTGTTAAATGCTTGCATGAAAACATTCTCATCTCCTTTGAGGTTTTCTAGGACTACAGGAGTGCACTGCAGTAGTAACTGCTTTGTTCACAATAAACTATAAAAAGAGTGAAAAAAGTCAGTACAATTAGTGTGTCAATTATTCTGAAAACTGTTTAGGGTCTTTAGTATATGACATTATAAACACTATTTTTTACATTCACAGTACAGGACATTTAAAATTCACAGAGAAAATCCAAGAACCTTTTATCCTTTTGTATTCAATGACACCATGGGCCTGGAGAGGGGCGCTGAGAGAGGAATTCTTGTGGAAGACATCAAACTTGCCATGAGTGGACATGTAAAAGAAGGTTACAGGGTATGACATCTTCATTCAGACACAATCTATGAAACTGTATCGTAAAAAAGGTTTAAGTGATTTTCCGTTTTTTCCCAGTTCAACCCCAAATGTCACTTGTTTGAAACGGATTCTGACTACAACAGTTCTCCTACTTTAGATGACAAAGTCCACATACTGGTTTTAGTTATTCCAGCTGACACAGTGAGCATAATCAGTGTTGAAACTCGGAGGAAGATGAAAGAAGTCAGAGCAGCAGCTCGTGACAAAGGTGAGAGCAGATGTGGTTCTAAGAGCATTTATTATGTCTTAATTTCAAATACTAGAAAAACATGAGATAAAATGATTGCATTGCTTTCTGTATTGGCAGGGATCCCACAAATAGCTCTCATGACTAAAATTGATGAAGCTTGTCCTGAAGTCAAAAAAGACATAAGGAACGCCTACAAGAGCAAGCACATGAATAAGCTGGTATGTTCAAAGAAGTAACTTTCATGAGCTTGTAGACAGTTTACACATGAATGTAACATCTCTAATTCAGCTGTATATTTCAGTATATTTGTACAGAAACCTCAGCTATAATCAGTACAAATAATTCAAGACGTAATTTATAATTATGTCACTGCTGTAACAATACGATTTCAGGTTTTTTTAAAATGTAATGTTGTTTAAACTTAGATGGACACAGTGAACGTGGACCTGGGTATTCCACTGAACTGCATCTTCCTCGTGAAGAACTACCACAAAGAAATTTACACGAAGGACAACATGGATTCACTGATACTGTGTGCACTGAAAAAGATCATTGACTATGGAGAGGACTACCTGAATGACCAGAATGATCCAGATGATGTGTGAGGGGGATAGAAAAAGGTGATTTTGCTTCACCATCATTACAATCACAGCCACACAAACAGTTAATTTCACCAGAAACTTTATCAAACTCATTTTTTTCTTGTTCTTATTTTATTAAACTTTTTGTTCTTTTGCAAATTAAATCCAAATAAACTTCAAAGAAAACTAATACATGTACTTTTTGTTATTTACTGTATGAAAAATGACAGCTATATACCTGTAACCTGTTGCCTCCTGTGTAACTCAAATAACTGATTTCAAGTCTCGATGTAAGACTGTCCTCTCTGAGTAAGTGATTTCTTGTTTCCAGAACTGTAATTAAATCTGTTCACTGAAAATAATGACGACTGACCAGAGCGTGTGTGTTTATTTGTTCATTGTATTTATTATATTGAAATAACATTGATAACGTTGGCAGTTAATGATATTTTAATCAGAATCAGAATACTTTATTGATCCCAATTTTTTGTTACAGCGCTTCATTATAAACAAACATTAACAAAGACAGACAATACACTAACTAAGAATAGCACAATATATACATGCATATAAAAGTCACTTATTAATAAATAGCTGAAAAAGGAAGAAGATGTGCAAGAAGGGTGTAGCTATTGCAGTAAACAGTGTGTTAAGTGGATGAGTTGTACAGACAGATGGCCACAGGAATGATTTTCTGTGTCGTTCAGTGGTGCTTTTCGGTAATCTCAGTCTCTCACTGAACGTGCTCCTGTGACTGACCAGCATGTCATGGAATGGGTGGGAGGTGTTATCCAACATTGTCTTTATCTTGGACAACATCCCCGGACAACATCCGCCTCTCCGACACCACCTTTAGGACTTCTCCCATCTTTCTAACTCCAATGTGTTCAGGTAAATAAGTTCCCAAATAAATAATCAGAATAAATAGCACATAAATAGTTATTTTCATTTCATCATTTTCATTTTTAGGGTATGCTTTTAAGTCCCATTTATTTTATAAAGCCATCATTGTGAAGCATGTCAGCCTTTGATCTTTCCAGGTTGTTCCCTGCTGTCCACCCTATTACAGCTGGGATAGCACCACCACCCCCATGACCCTGAGCTGGATAAGCGGAAGAGGATGATATTTAATAGATATTTAATGACTTAGGTTATCAATCCATACATGCATCCAGGTAGATATACAAGTCCAAATAAGGAGTTGATGTTATTGTGTATTGTGTTATTGTGTAGGGGTAATGTCTACCAGAGAGTGTTATCTGTAGTAATTACTGCTGAAATATGTACACCTGTTTTTGCAAACATATGTCAACCTACTGTTAGAGTGCCTCTTGAGTATTCGTTGGTCCACTAGAGGACAGTGTTGAGCCTCAAATGACCAATGTGATCCAATAAAGCGTTGATGCTGGAACACAATAAATACAGATGAGATCGGGACAGCAGGGAGCAAAGCAGTATTAGAGAGGGAAGCATGGGGGTCAATATCAAGCACATGTGACTATCAAAGTAAAGCATAAACTAAAACACACACATGCAGCAAACAGGAAGCGAAATATGACTGAATGGGAAAACAATGGACACAACTAAATAGGGAAACAGACAACCAGAGCACAAAGACACAAGACAGAGACAGGGACACAAGTAGGAAACAGAACGGGATCATAAAAGAAGGTAACTTGGAATAATAAAATCAAGTAGATGAACTACCTTATAAACAGAAACTACAGAGGATATAATGAGTTCTAAAGGAAATTGAACAAAACTAATATACAAAATGCCAGAACAAAACACAATAAATTCTCAAACCCACCAGGAACATACAGTAGAAGAAAAACTTGAGAATAATTAACAAAGAAAACTATGAATACTAAATCAGAATGAAAACACAACTGGAGTGGAGGTAAAAAGGTAATTAAGACTACATCAGAGGCTAAAACTGAAAACGCTGGTTACAAAACCCAGGATTATGACAGAAGTAAGTTTTTAATTTTAAGAAATAGGTGTAAGGGACACATACACGTTAAGAAGCTATGCAGCTACAACTACATTAGACTGGCATCAGATAGAGTGAATAATAGAAGTCACATGACCCAAAGAGAAAGTGAAAGGACATTTATAAATCCAAAGTCAAACATCATATACATCAGTGTGAACAACAACCAAGACACGCCAACTTCACAGCACAGTTGGATATTCAGGTAAGGTAACACTGTGTTAATAATCCAATGCAGAAAATCCAGTTATTAAATTATTATATTGACCTTTATTGAGTCATCTCACATTTGGTTGACGTGTGTCAAGTTAAATAATTTCATTTCAAAAAGAATTTAAAGAATTTACTGTTTTATAATTTACTGTCTTTTTTGCTTGTTTAATTCACAGATAGTTGATGACAAAAAAAATGTTGAATATTAAAAAAATCTTTTCGGGTAAGCAGTTTTTTTCATTTCATATTCATTGTTGGTGGTTTTCTTCATCCTTCTCTTTTGATTTGCCCTGTATTGTCATGTTTGTGAAGCCCTCGTGGGTTTAACATGTAATATTGAGCTACACAAGTAAAACTGGCTTGACTGGACTGAACAGTTTTGAAATCAGGAAATACTGGAGACTCGAGTGATCTTGATCTGAATTTGTTATAGATGTTTGCAAAATTATTTTACAACAGAAAAGTTACCATAATGTCCTTTGGTTTGGCAAAAAGTAACATTTCAACTGCCTGTAAAATCTAATATAACTGTGCCTGAATATGGAAAAGTGTTGCTAACATGCTTTTACTTTGTCATATTTCAATTGCAGGTAATCGCTCACCACCTTCTCGTAAGATATTTTAAATATGATACAAAATTATTTAGTCCTGAGGAAAAAACTCGAGGCTTTTACACACTGGACAAATAAAATCTGCGCAAATATTTTCTGGTCTCGTCTGTTAGTGCAGCTAATGCAGCTGTTCACACTGACAGTTTGAGCAGCAGAATTCCAGGAAGTGTAATCATGTCATACTATTTACCTCAGACACACAGCTACTCAATGCGGCTTTCTGAAATCATTTCCCTGCCTCGCCTCAAACTGTCTCACTGACATCCTGAACTGTACAAACACACAGCTTCAGCTCCTGGATCCAACCGTTAAATTCTCCCTGCTGCTGTTTTCTTAGTTTCTTACTTTTCTCAGCTCGTCATCGTTTGATGTCGGCTTCATTTTTAGTTTTCACAGTGCGTTTATTGAGGAAGAATTTTCCTCAAAAAAAGCAACACGTTCAGTCTGTAACAGCCTTAATACATAATGTGTAATTAATTTATAATGTTGCCCTCCCAGTGTGACTCATACAATTAACATTTTCACTTTGCAGTGTTAGAGGTAGAAAAGAGGAGCATACCATGGGGGTGAGTATTAAGAGTGTGGTTGCTTAGAGAGGTGTACTAGAATTATTAAGATTAACCATTTAATTTCACCTGTGTTAATCCTAGAGTCACAATTTTATATCACAAAATCAATCTCTTTTGACCTGTTTGATCATTGTGGTAACTTATGTTTAATGTTCGTTCAATTTGACTTTAAACCCATCTGTGGGTGTCACATTTTTGCTCATTCTGATGTCACTGTAAGTGATTCTCTGCTGAAGTGTTAAATATTTACATTCAAATTGTTACAGCAGCACAAACGTCTGAGTCACAATGTGGAATTCACATAGTTTCACATGGTGACACAGAAATGCTTATTTGGTTATTTCAGGCTTCTGAAATTGCAGGCAGCAGAAAACGGATGTCAGCCTGTCTCAGTAGTACAGCCCTCAAGTGTTTTGTTTGTTTGTTGTGTTATTTTGTGTTTGTTCATAGCGCTGTTGTATAAACTGTAAGTGCACACTAAATCCTATTGTAATTTTCTAAATGAACAGTGAAAGAGAGCGAGACCTGCAGCTTGTCAGAGATTACAAGCCTCACAAAGATGTCCAGCATCTCAGAATTATGCTTCATGGACCACCAGGTGCTGGAAAGTCCAGCTTCATCAACTCTGTGGACAGTGCTTTAAGAGGCAAAATCGCAACTCGAGCATTGGCAGCAGCAAACTTTGGTGACAGTTTCACCATTGCAGTATGTATGAGGATGTATCTATCCTTATGATAGTTGCACACTCATTTCCTTTGAGGTTTTCTATGACTACAGGAGCGCACTGCAGTGGTAGCTGCTTTATGAGCATTAAACTATAAAAAGAGTGAAAAATAGTCAGCACAACTAGTGTGTCAATTATTTTGAAAACTGTTAAGATCTTTAGTATCTGGCACTAATATAACAACACCACTTTTTATTTTATTTACAGTACAGGACATTTAAAATTCAGAAAGGAAATCCAGGAATTCTTTACCCTTTTGTCTTCACTGACACCAAGGGGCTTGAGAGGGGCGCTGAGGGATTAATTAATGTAGAAGACATCAAACTTGCCATTAGTGGACATGTCAAAGAAGGTTACACGGTATGATGTTTTCATCCAGATGTTTGAACACAGTCTGTGATACAGAAACTGTATCGTGCAAAAAGGTTTAAGTGATTTTGCTTTTTTTTTCCCAGTTCAAACCCAAATGTCTCTTGCGTGAATCAGATTCTTACTACAACAGTTCTCCTACCTTAGATGACAAAGTCCACATTCTGGTTTTCGTCATTCCAGCTGACAAAGTGAGCATAATCGATGATGACACATGGGAGAAGATGAAAGAAGTCAGACTACATGCTCGTGACAAAGGTGAGAGCAGATGTTCTACATGTATGACATCACGATTTCAAATAGTAGAAAAACATGAGATAAAATGATTGCATTGCTTTCTGTATTGGCAGGGATCCCACAAATAGCTGTTATCACTAAAATTGATGAAGCCTGTCCTGAAGTCAAAAAAGACATAAAGAACGCCTACAGGAGCAAGCACTTAAATCAGCTGGTATGTTCCAGGACTTTCATAAGTTTCACGAGTTTGTAGACAGTTTACACATGGATGTCACATCTGAAATTCAGCTGTACATTTCAGTATATTTGAACAGAAACCTCAGCTATAATAAGTACAAATATTTGAATAAGTAATTTATAATTATATCACTAGTGCAACAATACAGTTTCAGTTTTTTAAATGTAATATTGTTTAAACTTAGATGGACACAGTGAACAGGGACCTGGGTATTCCACTGAACTGCATCTTCCTCGTGAAGAACTACCACAAAGAAACTGATACGAATAACGATGTGGATTCACTGATACTGAGTGTACTGAAAAAGATCATTGACTATGGAGAGGACTACCTGAATGACATACAATCCTGACCTGTAATCAATGTGTGAGGGAGCTAGAAAACG